TCATCAGAAAGCACAATGCACACAGCTTCCCGCCTCTTCTTTCCTTTCAGCAACACTGTGTCACCTCGGAATAACTGCAGCTCATCCATCTTGGGCTAAGGAAAGAAGGTTAAATCCTTTGGGTCACTGGGGAAAGGGGGTAAGCAACAGCCCTGAGGTTGGGATCCCCAGTAAATCCCACTCTATCTGTGATCACTGCAAGAAAAATGAGAAAAGAAACCCAGGGAAATTCCTTAAGTCAATGCAGTAAGACTGGACTGTGGTCCCAGCTTACCTGGGACAAGGACACCACACTGTTGTCCTCATTGATGGCTTCATCAACAATTAACCGATTAGGACGGTTCTTCTGCTTGAGAATGGCTGTTGATAAGTCATCACCTTTTGAACTAGGAGGAGGAAATGGAGTCAGTCCCAGTACAGCCCCAGGGACCATATCAGTCTCTAAAACTCACACTTAGGAAAGATAACATGGGTAGATAAGGGTATTCCTTTTTTATTTTTTTGAGACAGGGTTTTGCTATGTAGTTCAGGTTGACCTTGAACTCACTATGTAACCCAGGCTGCCTCCTGCCTCAGTCTCCCTGAGCGCTAGGATCACAGGCATGCACCACCACATCTGGCCATAAAGCTATTCTTACACTAAAGACCAAGGTCACAAAGAACAATTTTCAGCTACATTCCATTCCCCGCTCTGGGAGTTCTTAGCATTTTGAACACTGCTATCCTAGCTATTAGGCCCCAACTGATCCTGCCTCAGGGTCAAGAAACTATGGCCTAGGAAACAAAGAAGACATGATACAAGTGGTTGCCGAATAACAGAGATGAAAGATGCCTTAGACTGTAGAGAACAACAGTTAGAAACAGGACAGTGGTGCCGCTGCCTGCCTCGCAAGTGCAAGGTCCTAAGTTAGATCCCTGGTACCAAAAAAAAAAAGTAACCCTTGAAAACATAATCTCTGCTAAAAAGAAAAAAAACAAAACTTACAAACAAGAGCTCTACAGTCAGACCTATTAGTTTGAATCCCAACCCTGCCAATGCTTAATTAAATGTAATCTTAGGCAAGTTAGTTCAACTCTGGACTTTGATGTCTTCATCTGCAAAATGGGAGATTATGGAAGTTCCTAGCTCAGAGGTTTACTATTTTAAGTGAATGAAAGTAAATGCTCAACACAACACCTGGCCTGCGGTACTAACAGTCATCATGACTGGCGCTTTTTTGGTTGCTAACCTTCCAAGGGAATGAAATGAGCCAAATAACTTCTCTTAGGGTTCAAAGAGGCCCCAAGTCCCACCAAACAATCCTGGAGACAATAAAGCAGAATTATTAGCACTACCTTCCTCAAAGATAAACCTATTGAATGCCAGAGTATTTCCTGGTACAAGAATGCTAGACACAAACCATCATATACAGAAATAAACACTAACAGCTTAAGCTCAAAATGAGCTTTACAGTAATTACTACAGAGGCACATAGTTCCATGGAGTTCATTCAAAAAGTCAAAACCAGGGGCCAGGGATTTAGCTCAGCGGTTCCACTGCCTGCCTTGCATGCTCAAGGTCTCAAGTTCGATCCCTGGTACCAAAAAAAAAAAAAAAAAGTCAAAACCAAGAAATACTGAGACATGGTGCAAATTCACATCCTTCTCACCCAAATCAAGGTTGCCTGAATCTAAACTCAGTTTCCATCATTTTCTAGAAGCTAGGATCATTTATTGAATAGTGACACTAATTTCTTAACTAGCTCATCTCCACGCACTTACTCAGAGGACTCTCCCTTTGAAGAGTTACTGCTTCTAGTAGGCTCATGAAAATCAGTATTAACCAAAATAGGGAGGCTAAACAATGGAGGAAACAGAGGCGGGGGGAGTATCTACTCTGCACCTGGTGCTGTTCAAGGAGCTGGGAATACAGTTTCAAATCAAGACAAAATAGTTCTGGGTGGGGCGGTGCATGCCTGTAATCCCAGCACTTGGGAGGCTGAGGCATGAGGATTTCTGTGAGTTCGAGCCCAGCCTGAATTACAGAGCAAGACCCTGTCTCAAAAACCCTAAAGAAAACAGAATAGTATTGCCATTGGAAATATCACAATTTTCAAGAAAGACAAAAGATGCCTGTGCTCTAGAATGTCAAACAAATCCCATTCATTTAACAAAGTGCTAAGCTTTCTGCTAAAGCTCTCTTACACGAGATGTATCTTTAACCACTTTTAATTTCCAAGAGTAGTTTCCTCAGCTGTAACTTGCTTCCCTATCCCAGAAGTGTGCAACTCTGGGTACAGTGCTGCAGAGTAAGTACTCTTTCGAAAGCTTATCAACACTCAAGCGCAATCAACGTGACAGCTAAGGGTAACACAGAAACCCATCAGTTCTCCTCTTTAACCCCAAACAAATACCTTCCCCCAAAGGTTGCCCATCTTCTTTTTCGATTTATAGGATCGGAGCTTAAGGAAAAAACTGCCACATGTTTCAAGTCTTCACAGGCTGTATTTGAACCTCAGAACTGCACTCCAGGAAAACCTTCAACTTGTCTACTATTCCTGACTGGCTCTAAGATGGCCTTCATTTAAGGTAAAGAACTCTAATTTCCCACCTATCCAAGAGATCAGAGGTGGTAATTTATTTCCAAGAGTGAATTCAACCTGACCATAGGTCAACAGCAGTTTTCAATGTTCTTTGGGGACATCCTCTATTGTCTTCAGCATGACTCAGGCCCTTTCCATAATCCCAAGAGGCCCCAGGGACTTGGAAGAGGTTTAGGTAGGACTCATCAAGATGACCTAGAGGTCACAAACTACCCTTGATACTGGGTTCCAAAAATTTTAGACTTACTTTTAGTTTTGAAAGCAAAAGACAGACTGGATGTAACTTAGATTATTTTTGGTACTAATAAGTAGTCCTTTTAATTTAGCAACTGAGTAATACTTCACCCCAACTCAGAAACTTTCGAAAAAGGAACACATCTCAAATTAATCTCTTCAAAGCAGCAAAGTAATTTACATAGAAGAGTTTCTGTGGGCTGGCTACATTGTCTTGTTTTCATTTTCTTTTTTTAGCATCTAAAGCTCTAGATTTTAAACTGAATGGGCTGAAGTGGGAAGGTTTTATCTGAAGCTCTCCTGAGATAAAGATGGGGCCAGAAATCCCCAAGGAAACAGACAATTCCCCGTCGTAACTGTCTGGAGAAAGGGGCGGGGGGGGGGGTGCAGGGCAACGGTAACCCTAACCTGGAATTCACAAAAGCTGAAATATAGAAATACCTCCAAAATATAAACTTGACACCCTAACTTGGGCAGGATCTAAAATTGGAGAGGAAAAATTCCTTTCTCCCATCCCCATAAGGTAAGAAAAACTGACTAGAGTTTTCGAGTATTTTCAGCAGACCTAAAGAAGGAAAAAGCCAAAGGCAGGGCTCATCCTCTCCCTGATGCCCCTGACTAGCAGCAGGGCACAGAGGAGGTCACTCGGGCCAGGCTCCACAAGGCGGGTGTGAACTCCCGCAGCTCGCCGCACCTCCCTCGCCCCGGCCCCGCCTCACTCTCAGGGCTCGGGAGCCCTTCACGTGGCTCAAAGTCCACGCCCACCGGGCCCAGTGGGGCCTCGGGCTCGTAGGGCCTGCTCTCGTCGGGGACCTAGGGCCTTCCAGAGGAAAGAGGAGGAGCGCGGATGGGCGCCCCGAGTCCCCGAAGGGCCCCACCGGCTATGTGGGCCCAAAAACCTTGATAGGCCAGGACTACCGTTCCGACGTTGCCAATCAGGCTGGCCGGGGCCTGCATGACACAGCACGATCTCACCCGGACGCCGACCCGGGACCAAAGCGAGCCCAGCCTAGGGGGCGCGCGGGGGCGCATACCGGGCTGTGACCCCCTCACTCGTCTCCTCTCCTTCCCTCTCTCTCTATCCCCCTCACCAGCTCTCAGACGCGCCCCCCGCCAGGCCCGGCCGGGCCTAACCAGCTCGACAGGGCCCGCAGCGCGCGCCCCCGCAGCGTGCAGGCAGGCGCGCGCACACACTTACTCGGCTCCAGAGGCCATGGCGCGCGCCTCTCCCAGTGGGTGGCTGTGGCTGCCCACGGATAACGGCAACGAGTGGCAGGCGGCCGACTGGGCCGGGGCTCAGTTTTCCCAGGCGAGGGGCGAGGAGCAGCAACAAACCCGCAGACGGCTTCCCTCTGGCTTCCTCCCAGTTGCACCGGGACGGCGGGCGGGTGGGAGACGCTAGCTCCTGATCCGCGAGGGGGAGGCAACAGCGAAGACTCAAACGACGGCAGCAAACGCTTCGCTGAGACTGAGCCGAGAAGAGCCGAATCATCGGAAGGAAAGCGGCCCTTACCTCAGCCAATCAGCGCCTGCCCTAGGGACTCGCGCCCGCCTCTCTGTGCCTCTCCCCAGCAACTCGCGCACCACAGCCAATCAGAAAATTCGTTTATAGCTCGGCTCCCGCCTCAGGGATGCAACACGCCCAGTAACGCCACGTCAATTGGCCGCAAAGCAACGCTTCCTCGACGGATTTGGGTTTTTGACCAATCAACAAAAAGGATAGGTCCAGATCGACTGGTAAAAGGAGGACCTTTACTTGGAGGCGGACTTCCCCACTTGGCTCCAGTTTATTGGTTTAAGCGTATCCTATTGGAAGGATCTGGCACAATAGATTGAACCCTTGTATTAGTCTATTCCTGTTGTAGTTGTTAAGACCACACAGTTTCTCCCCAAATCTAAGGATCCTCTTACTCTGTACCACACGAACCCTTCTCCTTGCTCCTTTAAAGTACTGGTCCCAGCCACCCCTATCCTGGACTCTGTGACTAGCACGCCAGCTCCTAATTCATCCTACCCTATTGACGTTGTGCCCTCTTCTAAATAATTTCGCAGGTTTTACAGTTTCTCTGCGCTTGGGGGTAAATATTCCCCTTACCATAAGACATTAATTTTTGGAGGGGCTAGTTACCGGAAGGCTGAAGTCCTGTCCGACGGTGACGAAGAATAAAACTGGGGCGGAGGAGGTAGGGTGCAAGCAAATTTATTTAAAAGATACAAAAGTAAGGTGTAAAGCTCCCACTCTGGATAACCACGAGTGCTCTTTCTTTGTCTAAGGGGTTTTAAGGGATTTAGAAGGCAGCTTGAGCCGTTGTGTAAACAATATAATCTCGCCCTAGAAGACTACTTATTTTTTAGGGTCCAATCTATGCAGTGTTCACTCAGTGTCCATGCAAGACCTATGTGCCCTTGAGCCAATGGGTTGGCTGTCTAGTCATGCTCTGGGGAGGCCCCGGCCAGCAGGACAGCTGTCACATTTTGTAAGGTCCTTGGTGGGTCTTGACTCACCAGACTCCATTTTGGGGCCACTGTCCTTAATAGAACCTGTGATCAATAGAACCCTAACTCCTGTCTCACTAATTCCTATTACACTCCAGGGCATTCAAGTCCAGAGAGGTCAAAGGACAACCACAGAACACAGCAGATTCAATACAGCCCAAGGCAGCAAGAAAATTGTATGCTGGGACTAGAAGTCTTTGGGCCCAAGATGACTGCTGGCCCAAGATGACTGCTGGCTCTTGGTGAATGTTGACTCAATTCATCCTTCTACCACACAGACACATTTGGCTGAGATTCAATTTCTAGTAAGGACAGGGTAGGGAGAGCAGAAGACTGCCCATCTCTATTCAGTATAAAGTACCATACCTGCCATGTCTTGAGAGGCCCATCTAGATCACCCACCAGACCTAACTCCACTCACACTCACCTAGCACAGGATCCTGCACTTTGAGGCCCTGGTTTTAGGCAATGGAAAGGGCTAAAGTACTGGTTCCAGAGGAAGGGTTAGTTTTTCTCATACCTATACCTGAAGCTCATAAAACAGATGTTGAAGAGCTAGGGGTTCATTTGTGAGGCCCGGGGTTCAATCCCCAGCACTACTCCCCTATCCCCTGCAAAAAAAAAAAAAAGTTGGGAGAGGGATCTTAGGCAACCAACACTCAACTATGTGTAGTAGGCAGACAAGAAACATGAGTTTGCCAGGCATGGTGGTGCACGCCTGTAATCCCAGCATTCAGGAGGCTGAGGCAGGAGGACTGCTACGAGTTCAAGGCCAGCCTGGGTTACACAGTGAGTCCAAGCCCACCCTGAACTACATAGTGAGACCCTGTCTCAAAAAAGAAAAGAAAAAGAAACATGAGTTCTACTCAACACAAGAAAAAAGAAAACAGGAAAAAAGGTGCCATGATCAAAGGCAATAACTCCTTGGTGGTAGGCAATGCTTGCTCTGGAACCAGAATGGCAATAATGGGCCAAATTTCATAGGACTATCTCCAACCTCACCAGTACAGGATTTATATAGGAATGGTCAGCTTCAGCCACATTCTCCAGGGCAAGACAGAAAAACGTTCTCCCCACAGAGAGCTTGAGGTCCCAGCCCAAGGTCTTGGAAATGTGGTGGCTGTAGGTCAACAAGACTCTGTTAGCGAAGTCTGAAACTCTTCAAGGAGGGTTTCACAGTCAGGTGGATGAATCCAGCTCAAATATGTTTCCAGGTACAGGGGGAGAGACCTGGAGATCAAAAAGGGTGATGCCTAAAAGTGAAAGAAGGTTGAGCGGCCTTCCCTGCCTTTCATTCCTCATCACCCCCAATAGGCCCAAAGCACTCCAGGATCCCAGCCCCTCTGCCCCAAGCCTGCAGGGCTGAGCCTCACCAGGTAGCTTCTTCCTGTGGCACCTGAGTTTGGGTCTTCAGCTTCCACCAGACAGCATTGGCCTCATCCCTCCGATTCAGATTCCTCAGAGTCTGAAGCAGGTGAAACGAAGCATCTCTGTGTCCTATAGCCCCATCCCAGGGTACAAAGACTTAGAACTCGATATAGCTGAAGGCATCATTTTATAAAATGGGAAACTGAGCCCCAGAGAGAAGTGCCTTGTCTATACTCACTCATGAAATGGAGGGTAGATCATCAACAACCTATCCCAGGGTCTACTGCCTGCCCAGTACAAAAGGCTCAGCTCAACCTGTTCCTATACAACCCATTCCAACAGAGTCACAGAACCTGTGTCTGAGGACACTGAGGTGAGCAGGAAACTCTTAGAAGGCTTGCATACATACTTGTGTATGTTTGTATTTACACATCTGCGTACATCCTAGGTATATACCACACACATAATCCCTTTTACCCCTCCCACCTGGGAATACCTCCGTTACACTTATGCCCAAGTACTCTCTGTCCTTGCATATCTGTGCATAGCTGATACCATGCAAGTATACATACCTGGGCACACCTGCACACTGAGGAGGAAGTCCTGTAGGGCTTTGGTATCCTGGCCACTGGCTACCCATTCCAGTCCACGACTGATCAGAGCGGCTGCCCGAAGATGTTGCAGTGCCACATCTGAACTACACCCCTGCTCACAGTTGGAAGCTCCTCCTGTGAACCACCCCTGAAGTCATGAAAGTGTCTTCCAAAGCCACAGAGACACCAAGATCCCAGACACCCTTCTATTTATTCTTGTGTCCAGGGTCCCTTTCTCTTAGGTCTCAAAGTCTGGTGGGCTGGGAAACATGGAAAGAGAACCCACTTCCACCACTTCCAGGAGATAAGGAAAATTGAATGTCTAATTACCTTGGTCTTTGTCCTCAGGCACGGCCCTGAAGAGCAGCTCAAGACAACTGAAGTAAGACATGGACAAGAGCAAAAAGGAATCATGTGAGTGGGTGAGAACTGAACTCACTAACCCAGTGCAAATCAGAAAATTATCCTCCCATACCTCCCCAGAACCCTAGGTGGCTTCCTGGGCTCACTGGCTAAATTCACCGACTGCCTCTTTTTGGGCCCTCAGTTGAACCCAGGCCTGGCCCTGAAGCAGGTGGGCAGCAGAGACCCAGAGTGGGCAGTGTGGCAGTTCCTTGGTTCCTTTTCGGACATCTTCCCACAACCAGGACATCTTAGGAAGCAGAGATGATGTTCGGCTGAGTAGCTCCTCACATACAGTCAAAGCATCCTGGGCTCGGCCTGCCTTGATCAGTGCTACTGCTGCCTCCAAGAACACCTCCGGCATACAGGGTCCTGGGGGACATGGGGGTGGGGAGAACTGGGGTGGGAGGAGGATGCAGTGTCTTAAACAGGCATGAGGCATGAGTCACTACCCCTGCCTCTTCCCCAGGCTCTGGTACCATTCAGAGACCTGGTTTCCCTGAATGCACAGATAGAACCATAGAAAAAAAAACAGAAAATAACAGTCCCGCTCTACTCCAAATGCAACCCCAACCCTCTCACTTCATTGCAGAAAATCCTAAAGATATACCTACCCTTGGCTCTGAGACATCCAATAACAGGGCCAAAAGGTCCAAGTAATGCTCTGCAGCTTCTTCTGCCCTGCGGAGTCATAGCCCATCAGCTTTACCTTAGGCCCCGTCAGGACCCTCCAAGGGTTCCAGGGATAACATTCTCTTTTAACTAATGGATACTAATGGTCCTGAGGAGAGGGGAGAGGGAGGTCTTTGGGACTCTACCCCTGGCTCAATGTGGCTCTACCTCAGTTACAGAACAGATTAGGAAGGAGACCAGAACTTCAAAGATAGAGAAAATTACTATCTAAATGAGGAGTCCTCAGCTCAGGTCCAGCAATAAGGCAGGAGACTAACAAGTAGGGACCTATGACCTGCCTCTGCTTCACTCATTGGTCAAAAGAACTAAAGCAGAGCCACAGCTTAGGGAAGGCATCAGAGGAGGAAAGAGGAGCTCAGGAAAGCAAGAGGGAACTTTACCTCCCCATCTGTAGACATCGGCTTGCTAGTAGGTGCTTGACCTGGCTCTGTGTGCCACAGTGAAGGGGAGAGGCTGGGCCAGGTTGTGGGAGTAGCAGTTCTACCTCAATGAGAATGTGGGGAGCTTCAGATTTATGAGTGACACTCAAGGCCTAAAAGAAGAGAAAAAATAATCTATGTAATCTTTGGGAGCCATACTTTCTTGTATTTGCATCTTCACTAGTCACCCAAACACAAGCACCTCAGCAATACTCCACCCCATATCTTCACCTGCCAGTTCCTTACCTCAAACAGCAGCTCCAGACTCTCTAGCTCTGCTGTTGTGTTCCCCAGTTGCCGATATAATCTGGAAGCCTCCAGAAGGGGAAGACCCAAGGCTGACCCCTCTTTTAAGGCTGCAATCAAGTAGAGCAGTGCTCTCTGTGGATTTCCCTACATTTGTGGAAAGATAAGTCCTCAGCTACCCTCACAAAGCATAATGCCATCCATAATGGCCATGGTTTCCCCCAAAGCCCCCACAATCGCCCAGGGCTATCTTTACCATCTTACGGAGACAGTTCCCCAGTGCTGTATACACCTGGACCAGCACAGGCCGTGAACATAGGCCTGAGGCTGCTTCATGCAGGCTACTCAGTGCCTTGGGTAGGCTCCCTGTGATCAGCTCCTGGAGGCCTGGGGGCAACCAGGGTGCAAGCTTAGAGATGCCCATAGGGAAAGGAGTATGACAGGATAAACCCTGAAACCCTGGAGCTAAATGGGACATAACAGGGACAACATAAACCCAGAGGACCCCTTATGGGAAGAGGAGATAAGCCAGGTTGCTGGCCGACCTTGGTGGAAAGCAGATGCTGTCAAAAGTACATCTCTCAAACCCCAGGCATCCTGCAGGATTAATGGGGCATCTGATTCCTCAGCTGGAGGGCTCCAAGTTTTTAGAAGCAGCAACAGATCCTCAGAGGCCCTATTCTGGAAAAAGGAGGACATTCAGAAGCTGTAAGCTTCTAACTACCCCCTCTTCTCCTTGGTCCTGGACTTTGAGCTCAGGAGTCCTCCTGATTCCTATTCCCCCAATTCTAACAGAAAGATAAGTGTGAGGCAAGGATAAAAAGGAAGAAGCCAGGCATGGTGGCTCACACCTGTAATCCCAGCACTTGGGAGGCTGAGGCAAAAGGATTGCGGTAAGTTCAAACCCAGGCTGAACTACATAGTGAGGCCTTGTCTCAAAAAAAGGAAGAAAAATCTAGGGGAAGCCAGGTATGGTGGTGCACACATGGAATCCCAGCTCTCTGGGAGGTTCAAGTAAGAGGACTGCAAGCAAGTTTGAGCCCAGAGTGGACAACTTAACAACTTAGGGAGGGCTGGGGATTTAGCTCAGTGGTTTCACCGCCTGCTTCACAAGCGCAAAGACCTGAGTTCGATCCCCGGTACCAAAACAAAACAAAACAAAACAACTTAGGGAGATGCTGTTTCAAAATAAAAAAGGCCCGGGCATGTAGCTCAGTATGAAGGACCTGGGTTCAATCAACAGGATGGGATAGCACAAGTGAAAGGAAGGGAAAAAGGGAAGAAAAGGAAAGGAAAATAAAAGAGGGAGAATGAATTAATCCAGGCAAATGATGATCTTTTCTAGTATCCCTTCTCATTCAGAAGCTCTTGAGTACATGGAGCAAGGACCATGTCTGGATCACTAATAAGAAGACTAAGGCTGGAAGGGGGCTTCACCAAGATCATAAAAGCCCGAAATTCATTAAGATATTTTTAACCCCCCTCCAAATTCCCCAGTTAGGAGCCAACCAGAGCAAGAACACCCAAGAATCCCTGGGAAAACTTAGGTTTTCTGATCAGCAAGCCAGCAGCCTTTCCATTATATAACAATGCTATTGCAGCTGGAGGTAAGAGAGGAGGAAGGACACTCTCATCTTCAAATCACTTTTTCCATTACCTGGCTCCCATTCAGCGCCTGCAACAACAAGGCCAGGTCCCCAAGATGGTCAGTGCTCAGCCAAAGGGCTGCCTGCAGGCCAGCCAAGAGGTGCAGGGCAGGGAGCAGCTCCGGCAGGAGGGAGGAAGCATGGAGAACAGAGTCCCATAGCTCCCTGAGCCCCTGTTCCAACCTGGGAACCAGCGGCTCCTGGGTCTCCAGCACTGTAGAGTACACATATGCACAGCTAAAGTGGGACCTCATCCTCCATTTCCCCAATCTCTGGCTTTTCTATTCTGCAAAAGCCCAAGGATTGCAATAATACCTCAATCTGATCTGAACAGTACATGGAGGATTAGAAAAGGGCACCCTTCTCCATGGAGGTGACTGCTGTTCCTTCTGTGCTGCCCCCCCCCGCCTCCCCCGCCCACACACACAAAGGCTTAAAGCTAGAGGGAAGCTGGCAGGGACATGGGAGGCAATCTCCAGCCCTTACCTCTCTCTAAGGCCTGTTGGATATCCTGGGCCTGGTCTTCAGTGAAACCCTGGGTCAGGCTTGCCCTCAGGATAATGAAGTTACAGGTAACAGTCAGCTCCAAAGGAAGAACAGAAACAGCTGCAGGGAGCCCTGAAACAACAGATGCTGGTCTCACAGGCTCTCCACTGAAAGATGCCCCAACTCAGAGATAATCCCACTCCAACCCAAATGGCCACAACAAAGAACCCATCCTTTAAACAATCTGGAAAGAGCGGGAAGTTCTCCAAATTACACAATCCTAGAAATCACAGTCCTCTCTGTGCCTCAAACAGGACTCCCTGCCCCCTCAATCCCAAAAATGCAAAAGAGAAATGGTATCTGGCGTTGAAGGAAGGGAAGTGACCATCCCAAGGAGGTCTCTGCTTACCTTGCAGACTGTGGAGGAGCCCGCTGAGCCCCTCCAGTATGTCTTGAGTCAACTGCTGTCGTCTTAGACTACACTCCTGAGGCACCAGTTCCTGCCAAAAGTAGGAGGGGACGTCACCGAGAATCAGTTTTTTGTTCTCTCCTTGCAGCAGTATGTTGGGGGGGGGGTGCATTCTCATCATTTCTGGCTCTATGGGGGAGGGAGGGTCAGGTCAAGCTCTGCTCCTCCCCATTGGCTGAGGCAAATCCACTGCAAACCGGCTTTCTGGGGTCTTGGAGCTGCAAAGCGAGGGTTCCAGCAACTGCGTTACCTTGGCCCGTCGAACAAGTCGATCGTTCTTTTCCCTCCACAGGTCTAGGCAGCTGGCGCGTGGAGTGGAGGCGCACAGAAGGGTCCGACGGGACATGCTGGCCGATGGTACACCCTGCTCCCCTCGGGCCCCAACCTGGACGACCCACCCTTTCCAAAGTTAATCTGGCACCGCTCGCCTCCGGTGGGCTGGGACTGCAAAACTCGGCTTCGGTTGGTCCACTTCCAAAGTCTGTTCCGGCGGGAAACTGGGGAAAGAACCCAAACTGGCCAGAGGTGGAGTGGCGTGCCTTAGTGGCAGAATCACAAGGCTCGCCGTTTCGCTAGCTGGGTCCTCTCAGAGCCCACTTTTAGGGAAGGTGGTCCAGAACCAATCTTCCAAACGACAGCAGGCGGGGCTCAGCCCTTCCTCGCAGCCACGCCCCCGGGCCGCGAGGTTTCCCTCCAGCGCGCCGCCACGCGCAGTGCATGCTGGGGGTCGTAGTGCGGCCCGGAAATTCCAGCGCAGACACAGCGTCTCAGTATCAGTCTGGCGCTGACGAGTAGGGCCCTCCGAAATCTCCTCTTTAAAGAAGTGGAAGTAGGTTAATTGCATAACCATAGGGGAAATTTTTTTTTTTAATTACCCTACCCCCCCATCAACCGAAAATGGGTTAAAAATGGAACTATAAAAGCCAAAAACAAAACTCCTAAGAGGGCCAGGGATTTAGCTCAGTGGCATCAAGCCTGCCTCACAAGCACAAGGTCCTGAGTTCGATACCCAGTACCAAAAAACCAAAAAAAAAACTTATAAAAGAACACCTTTATAACTCTGGTTTTGGCAAAGAAATGTTTTTGTGTTGTTTGGGGTTTTGTTCTTTTTTATGTTAATAGTCTCCCTATGTAGTTCAGGCTAGCCTTGAATTCAGTATGCAGCCCAGGCTGGCTTCACACTCGCACTGATCCTTCTGAATGCTGGGATTACAGGCGTGCCTAGCACGCCAGTTTTGGTTTGGTTTGGCAGTGTAACTGAGGGTTCAACCCAGAGCCTTCACATCCCCAACCCCTTTTAAATTTTGAGGCAGGGTCTCATTAAACCGCTAAATTGCCCAGGCTGGGCTAGAATGCAATTGCAATTGCAATTGCCTAGACCTCTCAGAGTGCTGGGATTACAGGTGTGTGTCACCATACCTGATTCATGCAGATTTAACTTCCTTGTTGGTAGTGAAGGCACACACTTGTAATGCCAGCACTTGGGAGGCTGAGGCAAGAGACCAGTATCCACAACACATAGAAATGCTTAAAACTCCACAGAACTTTAGGATGGAAAAAAATATGAACAGACATTGTACCAAAGAAAGATATACAAATTGCTAAGAAGCACATAAAAATGGTCAACATGATTAGCTATTAGAGAAACGCAAATTAAAACCTTTAGATAGAAGCTAGGTGTGGTGGTGCACACCTGTAATCCCAGCACTTGGGAGGCTGAGGCAGGAGGACTGCTGAGTTCCAGGCCAGCCTGGGCTACACAGTGAGTTCAAAGCCACCCTGAACTAAGAGCAAGATCTCGTCTCAAAAAATCAAAAAAAAAAACAACCCTAAAAAACAAAACAAAAAAACCCTTTAGATAGGGGTAAGGATGTAGCTCAGTGGTAGTGTTTGCCTAACATGCACCAGGCCATGTCTTCAATCTTTAATATCGGGGGTAAAAAAAAGATAACACTACATACCTACACACATAGAATAGCTACAATTAAAAAAACAGGTAATCCTAGCGCTCTAGCAGGCTGAGGCTGGAAGATCACAAGTTCAAGCCCAACTTGAGTATTTTAGCTTAATGAGACCCTATCTCAAAAAAAGTAAAAATGAACTGGAGATTTCACTCTGTGAAGGCTGACTGAAGATTCAATCCCCAGTACTGCAAAAACAAAAATTAAAAATTAAAAGAAGTAAAATGTTCACAAGAGCTAAAAACTGTAGGGCCAGGGATTTAGCTTGGTGGTGCCACGCCTGCCTTGCAAGTGCAAGGTCCTGAGTTCGATCCCCATACCGGGTTGGGAGGGGAGACACTAAAAACTGGAAACATACAAAGTTCACCAGTTGGTCATAGCCAATGATTCAGCAATAAAAAGGGGCAAAATAGTGATATATGCACCAACATGGGTGAACTTCAAAACCCTTATCCTAAGCCACCCCAAAAGACCATATATTGCATAACTCTACTTATATGAAATGTCCAGAAAAGGCAAATTATAAAGACCAAAAATAGATGAGTGACCTAGAGTAGGATTGACTGTAAAACTAAGTGTGAGGTAGTGGGGAGGGGATACAGAATGTTCTAGAACTAAATGTTGCACTTGGCAATGGTTTCTTATATATGACACCAAAAGCACAAGCAGCAACAACAAATAGGCTGAACTGGACTTTATCAAAATTTACAATTAGTCTTTTGTATTACTTTTTGTCTTTTGTATTACTGGGGATTGAACCCAGGGCCTTCTCAGCTAGCTACATGCCCAGCCCTCCTTCATTTTTTATTTTGAGACAGTCTCAAATTCTAAAAAGAGTTAAGTTGCCCAGACTGGATTCAATCTTGTGATTCTTCCTCCGCCAGCCTCCCAGAGTGCTGTGTCACCATGCCTGGCTTAAAACGTTTGCATTCCAAAGGACATCATGGCAAAAATGAAGCTGGGCTTGGTGGCTTGCACCTGTGGCCTCAGTTCCTCAGGAGGCTGAAGTGGGAGGATCATCACTTGAGCTAGGAGTTCAAGACTAGCCAGGGCTACACTGAGATCCCTGCCCCTAAACATAGCAACAAAAAAGTCTGGGGCTGTAGCTCAGTGGTAGAGTGTTTGCCTATCATGCATGAGACCATGGATTCAATCCCCATCACTGCAAAACAAACAAAGGAAAACGGAAAATACAATCTTGTTTTTAGAAGATAATTGTGGGGGCCGGGGATTTAGCTCAGTGACGCCACCGTCTGCCTCACAAGCGCAAAGTCCTGAGTTCGATCCCAAGTACCAAAAAAAAAAAATTTTTTAAAAAGGCTGGTGATTTAGCTCAATGGTTCTGCCTCCTGCCTCGAAAGTGCAAGGACCAGAGTTCAATCCCCGGTACCAAAAAAAAAAAAAAAGACAATTGTGATGTTTTGAAATATTCAGTCTTCATCTTTGTTTCCTGGCTTATAACTTCCTCCTCAAGGTAAAAGTCATAGAAACTAATCTTTCCCTGCCTTTAGCTGGCCATAAGAAATTCTCTGACCTACTTTGTCTGACAATGGGTCTTAAGACCCTTGTCATCCCAGAGGGGTCCTGCACCATGGCCTGAAGGAATGGTGCAGAGAGGCCAAGGAGAATCTGACTAGCTAGGACTTGCTAGATTTGCCCCCCAGTTTATCGGCAGTCATACCTATGCAATGAAGTCTCCATAAGCCCCCTAAAGGACAGGGTTTGGCAAGTATCCTGATAGCTGAACACCAGGAAATTCCTGAAGGTAGTGAATCTGGAGAGGACACGGAAGCTCTGCACCCCTTCCCACACACCTAACCCTAGGAATTTCGTGTGGGTGCTCATGCTTGTAATTGAAGGTACAGGGCTGGGGATTTAGCTCAGTGGTTCCGCCGCCTACCCTGCAAGCACAAGGACCCAAGTTCGATCCCCGGTACCAAAAAAAGGAAGTAATCAAAGGTACAGTACTCAGGAGGCTGAGATGGGAGGATTGTGAATTCAAGGCCAAAAAGAGCAATGTAGCAAACCCAGTCTCAAAAACCAAACCCAACCAAAATTAAAAAACAAAAAAACAGCATAATAAACTGGTAAAGTAATTGTTTCCTTGAGTTCTGTGAGCCTCTCAAACTGACTGATCCCAAGGAGGCTGTGGGAGTACACAATCTATAGCCACCCAGTTAGAACCATGAGTAAAACGACCTGGGGCTTGCAACTGGCATCTGAAGTGGCAGAGAGAAGGGAGCCATCTTGGGGACAAAGCCCTTCATCTTTGGGATATGAAACTCCCAAAGTTTCAGTACTGACTCTGGAATCAGTATCAAAACTGAATTGAACGAGGATACTTTTCTAGTATCCACTGGAAAATCACTTGCTTGCTAGTGGGAAGAAATTCCCATAGCTTTATTTTTTTCCCCCAGTACTGAGGATTGAACTAGATCCCCAGCCCTTTTTTATTTTTTGAGACAGGGCCAGGCATCCTGGTGGTACACCCCTGTAATCCCAGCACTCAAGAGGCTGAAGCAGGAGGACAACACATGAGTTCATAGCATAGATACAGACAGGGTTTGACCAAGTCACTAAATTGCCCAGGTCAAGCTTGAACTTGTGATCCTCCTGCCTCAGCCTCCTAGAGTGCTGGGACAACAAATATAGGCCACCAGCCAGGCATGGTGGCGCATGTCTATAATCCCAGCACTCAGCACTCGGGAGGCTGAGGCAGGAGGATCGCCATGAGTTAAGAGGCCAGCCTGGACCACATAGTGAGTTCAAGCCCAACCTGAACTGCACAGCAACACCCTGTCTCAAAAAACGAGATATAGGCCACCATCCCACAGCTTTTGAGGTCATAGAAGTCTTCTATGTTGATTACAGTGTAAGAGCAAAGGAAAAACAGCCATTTTGTTTTATCCTGACAGTACCAAAAAAATCTCTTCAAAGAATCAATGAGTTAGTGTGTAATAGACTCAGATGTCAGGTAAAAAGCTGAGATAAAGAATTTTTATGCTGGGCATGATGGCACATGCCTGTAATCCCAGCACTTGGGAGGCCAAAGCAAGAGGACTGCTGCAAGTTCCAGGCCACTTGGGCTACATACTGAGTTCAAGACCAGCCTGAACTACACACATAGCAAGAACCTGTCTCAAAAAAAATCCCCAAAAAGTTCTTTTTTTTTGACACAGGGTCTCACGCTGGCCTCAAACTCACTATGTAGTCCAGGCTGGCCTCCAATTCAAAGTAATCTTTCTGCCTTGGCCTCCCGAGTGCTAGGATTTTTACAGATGTGCACCACCATGCCTGCCTGTCCCGTGGTTTTAACACGTATTCTTTTAGCAATCCCATCTCTACACCTGGGTACAAACTTCAATCTGACCCTGCTGTCTAGAGCCTCTTCCAATTCTTCTGATGGACAACTCCAGAAAGACCTTTTATCAGCACTTCAAATCTGACACCTGGGCCCAGCAAGATGGCACAAGCCTATAACTCTGCTACTTGGAAGGCTGAAGCAGGAGGATTGCAAATTTGAGGCCAGCCTGGGTAATTTAGTGAAACCCTGTTATCAAAGTGAAATAAAAAGGATGAAGAGATAGCTCAATGGTAGAGGGCTTGCCTAATATGCTTGAGGCCCCAGGTTCAATCCCCAGTACAGTACTTCAAAAAACAATTTAAAAATGACACTTGAGGGCCGAGGATTTAGCTCAGTGGCACCATACCTGCCTCGAAAGCCCAAGGTCCTGAATTTGATCCCTGGTACCAAAAAATTTTTTTTAATAAAATAAAATAAAAATGACACAAGTGTAGGATAGACAGAGGGCACAGGAGATACCCAAGAGAAGTATTACATTCATATAGTTTTGATTGCAAGTCAAGAATAATCAATGGGGAAAGGTAAAATGCTCTCTAAGATGAGTGAGTAGGTCTGATAAAGGCAGCACAGGTTGGGAAACTAGGGAGGCTTCCACAAAAGTATAGGGCAAAAGGTGTTCTATAGTGAAAGGCCACAGCAGAGCAAGGGAGACTGCACTGTTTGAGGCTTCAGACAGTGAATGTCTCTGTGCTCCATGATGCTTAGGCTTATATTTTCAATCCTGTTATCAGCCGAGTAAGAAATTTAAAAATCCTGGACGGCAAAGGAAAATGGCAGGTGGAATAGAATACGCAGGGGCAATGAGTTCAGGCAATTCCAACCTCATGCCAAACATTCTCAGATATATCCAGGCCTGCCTGAGATGGTTGGTCCAATCTGTGCTTATGGGAGGGGAGACTGACACTCCCCAGCCCTTATAGGACAGTGGGTACTCCCCCACATCTCAGACATACATAGTTACATTATTACTTTATTCCACTTTGGAGACCACCCCCTTTATCCATCAGATGCAGCCAAATCAGGAGAAAGGGATCAGGCTCCACTGTGATACTGAATTCTAGAATAACACAGTTCTATAGCCAGCAGCCCCTATGCTGCATGGCAGTAGAGGCTCAACCTCTCTTGCAGATCATCCAGCACCTGTATAGTCCAGGCCAGGTGCTTCTCCAGCTGTCTTTGTAGCCAGGAGCCAGCATCCACAGACTAGGCTACCTCTGTTGGGCCAGAACTAGTTTTTTGAACCAGGAGCTCACAGCACCATCCACTCGCATTACTAAAGCTATGCCCAGGAGAAGTCCCACGCTGCTCACAATGAAGCCTATGGCCTCAAAAATGAACCTGCAAAGAAAGGTGAAGTACTTCAGGGACAGAGAGCAGATCTAGTACCTTTTCCCTATGGAAGCAAAACTGTGTCCAGTCTGGATGTTTGTACTTGGCTCCAAGCTTCTCCCTTCCAACCACCCCACTTCTCAAGGAAATCCACTCACTTGGGGGCAAACACCTTCCAGACCATGAGATGCCTGCGGAGGATGGACGCTGCCAAGGCACAAGCCAGAATCTAAGGGAAGAGAGAAGGGGCCCAGTTATTTGGGGAGGGAAGGAAGGAGGGCAAAGGGAGAGGTGTTTCAGGCCTCTGTGAAAAATGGAAGGAGGGAGGAAGCAGTATATCACTGGAAAAAACACCGGGGTAGGAGTTAGAAGTCCAATTCTTTTTTTTTTCTTTTTGAGATAGTCTCACTATGGAGTTCAGGCTGACTTTGAATTCACTATGTAGCCCAGGCTGGCCCTGAACTCGAGATGATCCTTCTGCCTCAACCTCCCAAGTGCTGGGATTACAGACCTGCACCACCATGCCCAACTAAGAAGTCCAATTCTTGTCCTGGCCCAGCCACTGACTCAGTGACCTTGGGCAAGTCACTATCCATCTCTGACGCTAACACTCATGTTATGATTCCCAGGGTGAAGGAAGAAATTAGCATCACATCTTCTGCCTTTGTAGGAAAGGAGTAGGCTCTATGACCACAGTTTTGGAAAGAATCCTGGCCATTACCTCAGCCTTTCCAGTACATCTATTAATGGAGTAATCTCCACATGTAACTGGCACAGTCCAGGTTGTAACAAGGAAATGATCCACGACTAGGATAAAGAAACCCAGATTTAAGTCTCAAAATTGCCATTTAAGGCCACTGAGCTTGGGGAAACCCTTTACTTATCTCTACATCAGTCAAGGTTCTCAACCAGAGTTTTGTTTTTTGATAGCATCTTTGTGATATTGCCCACACTGGCCTCAAATTCAGGATCCTCCTGTTTCAGCTTCCGAAGTACCTAGAATTATAGGTGTGCCCCACTGTGCCCAGCCCTCCTACAGTTTTTGAAAGGATGAAAGACGGTGAATAATCCCAGTCTTCAAGAGGCTGAGGCAGGAGGACTGAGCCAAGAGGCCACGAGTTTGAGGCCAGTATGAACGATATAGTGAGACCATCTCAAAAAAAAAGGAAAGGAGCCAGGCATGGTAGTGCATGCCTATAAACCCAGCACTTGGGAGGCTAAGGTAGAAGGATTATTCCAAGTCTGAGGCCAGCCTGTGCTATCTAGTGAGTTCAAGGCCAGCCTGAACTTCATAGTAAAACCAACTCAAAAAAAGAAAGAAAAGAGTTGAAGCACACACATGAGACAAGGTGATTAGTCCCTGATCTTTACCTGACACTCACCTGAATTCCAAAGACAAAAAGGTACTTGAGGCCCAGCTGCAGGAGCGCTGCATTGAAATGGTGAGGTGCACCCCGGAGCCGCATCTCCATTAGTGGCTCCTCCTCCTCCTCCTCCTCCTCCTCCTCCTCCTCCTCCTCCTCTTCAGGCCTGACCCTGCCCTTGGCTTCACTCCCTGGGGGCTGCCGCCTCTTCCTTGGCCCTTGACTCTCACACAGGAAGGGCCAAAGCAGGAGCAGTGGGCAACCTACTGCTTCAGAGAAGGCAAGGCTGGCATCAGTGGAGAACCAGTCCACCCTACTTCCTACCCTACCCAATTGGCTCAACTCTAATTAGGTTAAGCTAAGAGATGCCAAGGATCTAACAAAACCACATCTTCCCACCCAAATCCAGGGTTTTCCTTTCTTCTCATAAAACTAGAGTAAACAATTGAAGCAAGGGAGAGGAAGAAAGGAGGTACCTGCAAAGAGAAGGTGGGAGGCAAATGTGTTGGCTCCCACTAACAAAGCAGGGAGCCAAGTTGAGGAGCCATGACCTTCTGGAAATCCCACGAAGGCTGCGTGCCAATGTATAGCTGGAAAGACGGGCTGGTGGCCTGTGGAGTAGAAGGTCTGGGTGGCCATGAGGGCCCAAGCTGAGACAGCCTGCCATGGCACAGCAAAAGGACCTGGAGGAAGATAGGCCTCTTTACAATCACATCTCATCCCCTACTCCACAGCCTGCTGCCCCATAATTATATATTCCTACTACTTCGATGCTAATTCTCACACACTCACATGCTCATAGCTCCAACCTCCCTACAGCCAACACTCTTGTTATTCTAATTCCCTCTGTGGTCGTAATCTGCCACTTCTACTATTGGAACATCAGAAAATGTGCTCCTGAGGATGCAGCATTTCCATAAGAAATTACTGTGGTCCTAAGAGACTCCTTTTCCTTCTCTATGTACTGTAAAAGCCAACAGGAGGGATTAGCTTGGCTATGACAGATAAGACATCAGGAAGACCTTCCCAAATGTGCAGGGCATGAGACCCTGTGTCAACATGAGAAAAACAAAAAGCAATACCTCCCTGAAAACAAAAGGGACTGGACTCACATCACTACTGCACTTAGATCAACAAGGGCTTGGCTATGTATTTACCAGGAGTGGTGATGGGTATCCCCGCAGCAAGCAGATGCAGGAGAAGGAAGCTCTGCAGAAATAGAAGCAGGAACACAAGGCTGATGCGCTCCGCATGCAATAGCAGAAGTGGGAAGGCCAATACGGTGAGGGCCGTGACCATAGCAGCTGAGTAGACACTTCCCAACTGATAGGCAGCCACAGTCAAGGGACCCTGAGATTTGGTCCTCTCTAGCCGTCCCCGGAACTCCTCTTGCATGTGTCGGTAGATTTGAGGGACCACATAATCCAGGTCAGCCTGAGAAGTGGGGGGGCCTGAGAAGGGAGTGAGGACAGTCCTGGTCCTTGGGGTACCTGTGCCAGCCTTCACCAGCACTGTCACAGGTTTCCAGAGCAGCAGCATGAGGCCTGCAGCAGCCAGCCCCACCACGGCCCGTGGAAGCACAAGTGATGCCCCAGCAACCAGGGCTCGGAGACGTGGGGGTGCTTCATCTGCCCCTGATACCAATGCCCAGTAGGCAGCAGTGCCCAATGCCATTAGAGGCAGCCCCCAGCGCACAAAGAGCACAGGGGGCTCAGGGCTCTTGAGATTACCATAGTGGCGAAGCCACAGGCGCACAGCAACTAACAGGGCTACCAGTGCCCCCACACAAGCTCCATACCACAAATTCTTGGCTCGACCACCCACCATGGATGCCAGAGGACTCAGCCAGGGAGAGGAGTGGCAAGCAGGTGTCTCTTCAGGGCAGCGATGAAAAAGCCCAGCTAGCCTTGTACATAAAAGCAACCCAATGCCAAGCCTCAGGGCATATCCACCACTGTGCCGTGGGGGGCCCGTTAGGGTAGAAGAACCAAGGCGGGGTATTGTGAGCAGCTTAGGTACCAGCAGCTGGCCCTCCCAGTGCCGCTGGACAACAAGGAGCAAGATGAGTGAGCCTAAAAGGAAGGGGGTGGCCCTAGCCTCAGCTACAACAAAACTATCAGAGAAAAAGGTAGCCAAGCGAATGAGCAAGAGTAAAAGGACAGGCCCAGGGATGGAAATCAGGGTTGGCAGGGGCTTCTTAGACCTGCAGCTACCCCAGGCTTTCCACAGAAAAGGCAGGAGTGAAGCTACTGCAGCCACAGCCCCTAGAACCACTAGATCCAGCTTCAGGCTGGTAGTTGTCAATAATCCAGCATACAGAGTGGCCCCAGCAAGGGCCCAGGCCACAGGCATCAGCAGTAGAGGACGGAAAGAAAAGGCTGGGGAAGTTGCCCACTGGGATGCAAGCAGGCAGAGAAAGCATGTAGCAGCCAAGAGAGCAGCACCCCCTGCCATGCGGACCAGAGAGAAACGGGCCCAAGACTCGATGCATATGGCCCGAGCTCCTCGAAGGAACTGCTGCAGCTCAGTAATCACAGTCTGCAGTGTTGCCTCAGCCTCATTGGGGCTCTGCAGAAGCCGCTGGTAGTCAGCAGAGGCCTTGGAGAAGAGGTTCTGCAGTCGATGAAGCTCCTTAACTTGGAGGTCCTGAGTAGCAGCCGAGTAGGTGTGAAGAAATCGGGACACCTGACAGAAAAGGTCAGAGGCCAAGGGGAACAGGTCAGAGATATAAATCAGTGCAGAGGCAAAGATAGGAATTACAAAAGGGGATACCTAGAAATCAGACCCAAACTATCCAGATCAAGAGAAAGCAGAGATATTGAAAAGGGGGACATGGCTATGGAAGTTAGGATGAAGACTGGACAAAGGACAGTAACATGGTCATTATGCTCCTCTCATATTCATCCTAGTATTTTTTTTGAGACAGAGTCTCACTATGTAGTTTCAGGCTGGCCCTGAATTTACTATGTAGATTAAGCTGGCCTCAAACTCTCTGCAATCCTCCTGCCTCAGCTTCACAAGACATGTGCTACCATACCCAACTATTCCATCCTAGCTTTATCACTTGGAAGCCCAGCCCTTTACCCACCTGTTGGGCATTGATATGGAGTGCCGAGGCTTGGGCTAATGCAGAGGAGTCAGGCTGGGAGTCCTCGCCTCCTGAGAACAGTTCAGTCATAACCTCCCCAATGTTCCCAAATGGGATGGGGAGGCCCAGCAACAGGGCCAGTGTGGGCACAAGGCTGACTTGAGGAATTGCTTCTGGTTCCTAGAGGGAAAGGATAGGAGTCAGTGGGTTAATCACAAAGTTGAAGTCATTGTTTGAGATGGCAGACTTAGGGACCTATGTAGGAAATGTGTGGGGGATACCTAGGATCAGGGATTTGGTGGCCTAAAATAGAGGGATCCATGAAGACAATGTGATCATGATGTGGGCTGAATAGTGGCAGACCTGAAGAGGCACACCCCAGACCTCACCTCTGGTGGGGCGCTGGGGAAGAGGGGTGTAGGGCTGTAGAGAAAGAGTGCAGCCGAGACCTCCAGCTCACTGTCCCCTCCATGGTCCCCATTCACAGTCATCCCATGGTCCCCAGCCACCACCAGCAGGGTGTCATTTTCCAGACGCTCCACAAGTCCCCTGGAGGCCAAGAAATATGTTAAGAATGGATAAAGATTCTTTTCAGGGACCCATTTGCCCCCAGCTACAACTTCTATTAGCAGGGCCCAGGCCTCTGGCAAAGAGACATCGCTTTGGCCATAACACTATTGCCCAAAGCCAAACAAAGTTATTCAAAACAGATGAATCCCCTAGCTCCAGAAAAAAGCCCGAAAAAGACAAAACTCAACCAAGAAAGAGGCTTCAAATAAGAATTTTTTGTCCTCAGACTATATATCCTGAGAGTCTCATACACAAACCCACTCCCCCAGCCAACACCCCACACTCACTGGATCACCTGGTCCATCTGGGTAAGTTTCTTGGCCATTTCAGGGTGGTGAGGGCCATGCTTGTGGCCACAATGATCCACACCCAGGAAGTGAGCAATCAGCACGTCCCATTCACCACTGTCCACTGTGAAGGGGAGAACACTGAGCATGGGGGACTAAGGCCCGCTCCTCAACCCCAGCTAGGCTTGGCCATTTCTCTAGTCCAGGTACACAAGCCCAGGCGGTTGCACCCATGAAAAGCTCAGAATCTGTAGACTAAAGCAGATCTCCCCGCTTCCCAGTCTCAGTTGGGGAGTTAAGTGCTCTGGCCCCATGCTCACTGGTGGGATACAGGTGTTCTAGGATGCCATTGTCCACTGTGTGTAGGTCTTTGACATTGAAGGATGAGAAGAAGAAAGCCTTGGAAAAAGCTCCAGGGAAAAGGTCTTTCCAGGTGTCATCTCCCATGAAGACTACCTGCCTTCCTGTAGGGATACAAGAGGTAGTCAGAGCCTGAGAAGGAATCAGGACAGGGGAGAATAGGAAGAGACTCTTCAAAGATCCACCAGAAATCCCAACTATGTAGCCATTCCATGCAGCAACTCCTTACCCTTTGAGGCCTAAAACTTCCCACCAGAAAGTTTTCCCTGATAACCAAACTTCACATAGACCTCTCACTTCTGTTCACTACAAAATAATCTGCTAGTTCTCAGTCCCTGGTATCTCTGCTGACCTGTTTTTACTTGGTATATCCTGCTTTTTCCAAGTCAGTTGACTCTCTTCTCCATACCTATGAACCAAGATCCTTATCTTTTCATATCTCCCCTGCCCCTTTACTGAGTTCTCTAAGAATAAAATTCAACATTTCACACAGATTAAAAACTACCTAGTTCCATCCCCGGTACCCGAAAAAAAAAAAGAGAGAAACTTCACCTATCCCAAAGCCCTGTGTCCCCCAAACTGAGTTCCCTGTATGCAAGGTTCTGGTCTTTTTCTCCTCCTCAGTCCTACAACACTATAGCCAAGCACCCAAAGTTCTGGCTCCTTGACTTTTTCTTTTTGGTACCAGGGATTGAACTTGAACTCGGGACCTTGCGCTTGCGAGGCAGGCGGCAGAACCATTGAGCTAAATCCCCAGCCCTTGACTTTTGAGGAAGAAATCTGCCCAAAGGGGCCCATACTGACCTGCACTGTTGAGCTGCTTAATGAGGTTGTCTTCTAGGATGGCATGACTGGCGAAGTTACTGCCAGCATCAATAAAGGTAGGGAGTGAGCCAGTTGTAAGGGCCTTGAGGCGCTGCATGGTGGTGGTGGGGGGATCAACTTGAGATCGATAGAGCCGGGCATGGTGGGGCTGAATCTCCAGAAGCCTCTGCAAGGAGCCTAATTTTCCCAGAAAAGGCAGGGAGACAGGAGGCTCCCCAGATGTATGTGACCGCTGGGGCTGGGCAAAGTCAAATCGCAGAGCATCTATCAGTACCAACACAACTCTGGAGAACCGGGAAGCCATCCAGCAGGCCCCAGGTTTCCCTTGGCTCCCCCATGCTAGGAACCCAGGGCCTGGGGGCTCTTGGCAGCTGCTGTAGTTGGTGAGCTCCAAACGGGTGAGAAGGAAGCCACTGGTGAAGAGGGCGATCCCAGCATAGAAGAAGAAACAGACCCAGACCAGGAAGAGTAACACTGAGACCTTCTGCATCCTGGTGAGGCAGGAGAAGGAATTCATCACTGTGGGCCATAGAACCAGTTGATATTTTGGTCTCTCAGCAACCGAACTAGAATCATTTCCTCTTAGAAGCCTTTCGGGACTCAAAGAGTTCAATAGCCAACCCATTCCAAGGTTCCCTTTCACTAGTTATGTCAGTCTTTCTAAAGGTTCCCAATACTATGGGCACCAACCTAGAACTGCTGCTAAAAAATGCTATTTCCATTATATGCAAGTACCAACTCCTCACAATGAATGTAATCATTATGTACTGCAAACATGTATTAATATAATTTTTTAAAATTCAACATGGCACTCATACCTACAAGTAAAACTGAGCTTCTCATATGAAAAACTCAATTCATGTGATTAGAAAAAATGCTATTTCAGGGGCCAAGGATTTAGCTCAGTGGTTCTGAGGCCTGCCTCACAAACGCAAGGTCCCGAGTTCAATCCCTGGTACCAAAAAACCCCCAAAAAACCTATTTCCATCCAGCACTCAGGAGGCTGAGGCAGGAGGGGCGCCCGCAAGTTTGAGGCCAGCCTGGGTTACAAAGTGAGTTCAAAGCCAGCCTGAAATAGTGAGACCCTGTCTCAAAAAACAAACAAAAAGCTATTTCCAGAGTCCACCCTTCATCCACTGAATCAGTATCTTTGGGTGGGGCATAGGAATCTGCATATGTACAACTAGGTGATCCTAAGGCTGAAAAATCGTCCTTGAACGAAAACTTATTCTGAGTGGTAGGCTACTGTCCGACACAGCGTTTCAACGCCTTCTCTCCTGACCTGTATCAACACACCTGCGGTTGCAAAGGCCCGCAGGGAAATCTGAACCAATTCCACAATGCCGCCAGCCTGAGGCCAAGAGACAAAGGGGCGGAGCCACGCTTCTGGCCCTTCCCGCTTCCGGGAGGCCAGGATCTCCAAAAGACCCAAGGCACAACCTCCCCACGAAGCCAGGTAGATCTACCCCTACACCACCTAACGCTGGTTAGGCCTTCCAAGAGACCCAGGCATACAGGCAGCTCTGCCTCCTTCACTGGCTTCTCAACCTCCACCTGAGCACTCTGGCCCCCGTATGCAGAGACCTCGGGCAGAGGAAGGATTCTCTTATTTTGAGGTTAGGACAGTGAGGGTTCTAGGGAGACCACGGCTCACCTGAATCGGCGCCCGGAAGTGCGGCGGTGGCCCCAGAGGCCCGGGACTACAGAATTGCGCTCACCAGATAGAGCGTCACACGGAGCCCCAGCGCCACCTGCCGGCGCCTGGATGGAAGTTTCTCAAGAAAGGTAGACGGGGCAAGTTTTTTTTTTAAGCACGTAATGTATTGTAATTTAGAATTGGAAAAAGGGACTAAGCTAGATGGATTCAGGAAACTACTATCCACTCTTGGTTAGTACTAGAAGCATGGCCTCTGGAGTCAAATTTGGCTTGAACTTTAGCTCTGCCACTCACTGTGAACTACTGGACATTATCATCTGTAAAACAGGGATAAATAATATTTATTTCCCATTTTTTGCTTAGCTGACTCCAACTGATAGAGTACGTTATTCCTGTCTTCAAAGCCTTGTACTGAATCTTTCAATAAATTTTTAAAAAGCAAGTAATCCAATTTTTAAATGAGCAAAAGATTTCCCTAGACATTCTTCTAAGAAAGATAGATACAAATAGCCAGTAATCAATCACATGGAAAGATGCTCAACATTGTTTCCAATCAGGAAAACACAAGATGCCCCTTCAAACTCAACCAGAGTGGCTATAATTAAAACAAAAAAAGAAAGACTGGAGGTATAACTCAGTAATAGATACCTTGGTTACCATATGCAATGCCCCAGATTGGATGCTAAAACAAAAGAAACAAAAAAACCCACTAACAAGTACTAGCAAGGATGTTGAAATTGGAACCTTCATACTCCGATGATGGCACTGTAAAATGGTGCAGCAGCTTTGGAAAATAGAACAACAGTTCTTCCAAAGATTAAATAGAGCCAAGGTGTGGTGGTGCATTCTTGTAATCTCTGTTGCTTGGGAGACTGAGGGAGGAGGGTGGCAAGTTTGCGGCCAGCCAGGACAATGTAGTAACAGTCTTTCTCAAAATTTAAAAAGGGCTGGAGATGTAGCTATGTGTTTTCCTAGTTCAATCCCCATTACAAAAAAAAAAAGTTAAAATTATCATATGACCCAGCAATTTCACTATTTCACTCCCAGGTAGATACCTAACAGAAATGAAAACATGTATCTGAACAAAAACTTATACATGAATGTTGATAGTCGCAATTATGTATAATCATGAAAAGGCAGAAAACCAAATGTCTAACTAATGAATGGATAAATAAGTATGGTACACCCAGACAATGGAATATTGGCAGGCCAGGGGAAGAATGTTCTAGAACTGTAGTGATTGCACAACTGCATGAATATACTAAACTACTAAATATACTTTAAGTTTACATTTTTAATGGGTATATTGTATGGCATGTGAATAATATCTCAATAAAACTACTATTAAAAATAAGCCAGGGATTTAGATCAGTGGCACGCACAAGGTTCTGAGTTTGATCCCTGGTACCAAAAAATAAATAAATAAATAAAAATTTTTTTAAAAATAAAAAGTCTCCTTTGGTTTATCTAAGCAAAAGCCCACAGCTGTCCTACATGACCCTACAAGTCTACCCTTTAGGGGCCCTTTCCCCTAGTTTATCTAGCTATCAGTTCTTTGCTTAACTCTGTTCCAACCATAGCAGCTCCTTTGTTCTTTTTTTTTTTTTTT